TGACCGGCTCCAGACCGAAATTTGAATTTCGGCGGAGGCTTGAGCGTGAACCGTCGATCGCTTTTTGTCCCAACATCGGACGGTCAAGCCTCGTCGACGCCCGAAAATTCTTTCCACAGATTCATGCACCGTCCGATTTCACGTCTACGATCTCAGACCGTCGATGAGAAGGGCGCGGAACTCGATCTAGGTACTCACAGAGTAACACCTGGCTAACTCGCTCCAAGCAACTAGGATGGCTCATGTGACAGGCTACCTTCTACATATCTGACTAATCACATTGTCCCACTACCTTCAAGGGAGTAGCGCGAAGGTCCGCCTCCAACGATAGCTTGGAGCGCCACTGAGAAGCTGGTTGCCATTGGCCTCTTTCTCCAGCTTGGGAGTAAACTCTACTATTGTTAAAGTGTTATCAGGTGCCAGCTCCTGCGGAATGATTCAATCCTGTTGAAACCATCGAACTTGTAGTGCAAGCTTCCCCGAATTGGCGCTCAGCATCATAGAGTCCATTCTAGATGACAGTTGCGCTTCAGATCAGAAAGACTGTGCAGAATGAAGGTTTTTGAATCTTTGCGATAAGAGTGCTGCCTACCATAGATGAGAGTATGAAGGGAGCTGCTCCTAGCATAGGATGTTGGTTCTGTGTTTACTCCTCTCCTTAGTGATGGCATCTACAGCTGGGAAAGACGGGGAAGGAATCATCTGCGGATATTGCAACACCAAATTAGCTACGCAGATTGCCCTGCAATGGCACCAAGAACAATCAGTAACATGCCGAGTAGTGAGAGCAATGAAAGAGGCCGAGAGAGCAGGGGGCCAAGTCGAGCCTGTCGTTTTTGAGTTTGACGACAACTATGTTCAACCACCAGAAGGTCCCTTTTACGATGAAACTGCTGACCTTATCATTGAAGATGATGTTGAGGTGCAGCTGCCAGCTCACGAGGAAGACGAGCTAGACAATGGCGGCACGGGCGTCGGGAGCTCAGGGCAACCCTTTGACTCTGCGATGGAGACGGTCCTCTGGATGAATTCAGCTGGTGCGGGAGGTACCAAGCTGCCTAACCGGGCAAGGAACGAGTGGTTGAAGCTCATGAAGGACGACCGCTACCGCTTGGAGGAGTGCTTGGCAAAGTGGAAGTCTCACCGAGATATGGAGCTGACAATCATGAAAGCTGCCGTTGGTGATGTGAGTTCAATCATCTGTCGCAACTTTCTCGGTCCATGTTCTGGAGTCTTGCTCCCTCCGTGAGGTGATTTGAATCCGCTTCTAAGAAAAGCTGAGCACGTGCACCATTTCAAAGACCTTCCTGAAGCGCTGGAAATGGGAAATCGACCGGCAAGTAAAGGAGTCGGAGCATTGGACCTGGTAAGCTACTAGCATTTGTTTGGGGCATCATTCCCCGCACTATAGGGGGTGACATCAATTGTTCACGCTCGCGTCTGTCGTGCAGGGCTCCAGGATTGTCAACTTGCAGAGGGCAGGCAAGGACCCCGAACCAATCCTACTGTCCTACATGCCAGCCCTCGATCTCATCCGCAAGATGTTCGCCGACGTGAACAACAAGAAGGGGTTTGTTCTCGAGCCTCAGGTGGGCCTTCGTCAAACTCCTATGATCGTGATTCGCGAGATCACTGATAGGATTTGAATTAGGGCTGCTAAGTACACTTCGCATACGAGGGAGGCAAACAAGTACGGTAGTTCCGGGTGAGAGATACTTGCCATCATCGTCTTTTAGTGGCAAATTGAGAATGGCCGGGCCTCGATGCTTCGCAGGTGAAAATCAAAGAGATCAGGCGGGGAGCGGACGGGAAGGTTATCGTCATCCGGGAGTACAATCATCCGAGTACCGGAACGTTTTGGAACGACGCTCAGGACGAGGCAAGGAACTATCGAAGTTGTCTCTTTGCAATCTAATGAGAGCAGATGGTTATAGCAAGTTGACTTGGAGAGACGTGTTACTAGTATGCAAGGTGACGCAATTGACGGTGCTTCTTTTATCTAAGATCGATATTGCAGTCTTTTGCCTCGCGTGTTTTCATCCACCCTGATGCAGTCTGCCTTTTCCTCTTCTTCAGGTGGACAACGATCCCGCATTTGTTGGCAAACACATCATCGTCCCAATCATCGTCTACCTAGACAAGACCACCTTGGACGGGCTCGGGCGGGTGTCGGCTTACCCCATGTACATATCGTTGGGCAACTTCTCTTGGGAGGTGTACAACCAGAAGAGCGGCATGCAACTGGTCGCTCTGCTCCCCAGCGTTCGAGGTGACGCTGACTGGCCCGGGCCTGGCTACAAACCCCGATCAGAGGGGTTGAAGGAGACCTGCCGGTTCTTCATGAACTGGTCCATGAGCATTGTCTTCGAAACCACTCGGGAAGCGTCCTACACGGGGTTTCAGGTGACGGACCCTAACGGCGCACAGCACAACGCTGTTCCTTTCATCTATGTGATCTCCAAAGATCTCGGCGAGGCTTCATCAATCTCGGGGGTAAGGTCCAACTCTTGCGACTCCTGCCTGGTCCCAACAACCGAGATGCACTTGGTGACTCGGGCGAACCAAGGTGCGTACGACGCGCGGTTAGAGGACGACATGTGGGGGGTCGTCCAACAGATGCAGCGGAAGCGCGACGAGAGGGCGCCCCATGCAAGGATCCTGGAGCTCAACAAGGAGCATGGCATCCACTTTTCGGAGGTGAGGATCAACGTGAGCGACGCACCGTTTCCAAAATATCGATATGTGTGGGTGTTTAGGAAATCAGGCGAGTCAACCTATTGCTCCGTCTTAGAATAAGCTACGGCCGTCACATCATTTCCAACAAGGCGCCTTTGTGAGATGTTTTGGAAAGCTTGTGAACAGCTCCTCGCATCTGTATGCAGCCGTGGTTTTGGGAGTGGAACTACTCGGACCGCTTCTGGAACAACGTCTACAGCAAGATGGCCCCTGACGATCTTCATACCATCTTTGGTGGCATCCTCGGCCACCACTTCATCGGGATCCTTGGGGCGGTCGGGAGGGCCTTGCCGATGGGGGAACCCGCGTTCATGAGTTTCATGGACGTGCGGTTGCATCAGGTGTGTTTTAAATTGTACACATTCTGACGCATTGTCCGATTCGCTCCCGACATGCTGTTTCCCAAGCAAACAGATGTTGCGTTTCATTATCGAACCTGCCTCTCCTAAGTAAACTGCTTGTCCTCATTCCGCGCGGTTCCATTTGTGCAGGTGTACCTGAAATACCGGCCAAGCGGCCTGCGTCTCCCCTCCAAGAAGGACTTCTTCACCAAGCCCTGCAACACGCCGGCGTACGAGTGGAAAGCGATCCTGCAGGTTCTCCCTCTAATGGTGGTCGGAATCTGTAAGATTCGCAGCAAGGACGTTCTTGCGGAGTGGGCGGTGGCCCTCTGCGAGTGGG